ATCTTCAAACATGAAGATTCTCGACTCCGTTTCGCGGCGCAGTCTATTTAGAAACAGTGAGACGCTTGTAATCCGTTCACCTTGCGAGCTGGGAGTCAGACTGCGTGTGTAATCGCGGGGCCATACTCTTTTCAGCTGCACCCTAACATTCGACTCTGATATATTAAGCGCAACCCTTACGTCCACGTTTAACTAATCCGGATCTAGACTTCTCGGAATCTTGGGTCGCTTCAGAAGTCGTTCGGAACGGTTGACAGAGAGTGGGAGAGCGGAGGGTGACACCCGACCGATATTATTATCGTAGACTTTACGAGGGTGTTTACGTTCGTTTATGTAAAGGAGATTTTAGCCGTGAAATTCGCCGCCCAGATTAATTCTTGCGGAAACAGGATGCCACGGGGATAATTCTGGATCTCGATCTTGAAAGGGAACTGAAAGCTCCCCGCATTTGCGGATAATAAACGCGATAATAACTTGTCACGCGTACCCAAAGAGTCACTGCACGTTTAAAAATTGTATAAACATTAAGCTGGACAATCTTGTGTGGGGTATTGCAAGATTAACCCCTTGCCCTGGAATGTCTTTCACGGTTACGCTCGATGAACATTGTCGTTGGTGATTTGTTAGAAAAAGAAGAGTTTGAGATTTATTTTATGTCTACGTTTACTGTGAATGTTAACGATTGATAATTGAGAAGTAATGTTTAATTTATATTTGAAGGAATTGAATGATTGTTAGGTTTGCTAAATTTTGTTTGACATGTTCCTAAGTAAAACGATATTATACGAGATTAACCCATTTCCATTTTGCTTCACGGTTTTTATTTGATGCATTGCATTTTTTCGTAAATAAATGACAAATTTTGTGGAATGATAAAATTTTGTTTGGCAAAATTATTTATTTCAGAGTAAAAAGAAGCGGTTAGGTTATATTTTCATCAATACATTAAATTTCGGTTTGTGTAAAAACTGGGTTTTTAATAGGTTCATGTTGGTCTTGTAAATGAAATGAGCAACTGTCGTCATGATTTTTGAGATACTTCTGATTATGTAACGAAAAGAATGTTTCGAATAAAAGTTAATCAGATTTAAATGGATTACAAGCAGTCATGAAAGAGACATTTTTAAAAAGGTTATTAAAAAATCAGAGTGTCCTTGGATTTCTTTAAATTCCATTCATATTTTTGGATTCTGGTAACTTTAAAGTGATTTTGAGCTTTGGAAAATTATTTGATTAGGATAAATTTTTTGTATTAGTGAAATTAAATCACGTCTTTCAGAGAAAAGCTGAAATAAAAATATAAAAATAATTAAGAAAACAAAGCTACTGTGATTTGAAGTGGCATAATGCAAAGTCAAATTAATTTGATACCTACGGCTAATATAACATCAACTTAGACAACATGAAGGACTGATACCTATAAATTTTTGCAATGAGGAATTGAAACAATTAAGTAATGTCTGCTAATGCAGATGTTAGCACAAGGGTACTCTATTGTATTAGAAACTTATGCAAACGTTTTCTTATAGTTCATCCTTGTTGTACCATGCATACCCAGTGTCGAAAGAATTTCTTTCTATTCGTTTGTATAACTTATTTATTTAATTAAAAGAATACTGACTACCTCAACAAACAATTCTGAGGAATAAGGCAAAATATAAAGTTGTTAGTCAATTTTAAATTTAATTTTAATTGACACTTTTAGTTAAAATTTTTTATTTTATAACTCGAATTTTCAATTTTCCTTTTACCTAGGAAAGTTTAATCTAGACAGTTTAATTCAAACATTAATGCAAGTTTCAGAACTTAGATTATTTTCTTCAATCTTCGAGTATGCCAGTGATAAGTGTTGGTATAATTTGAATGGGATGCTCAAACAGAATGAAAGGAAACTACTTACAATGCTTCACATTTTTCATGTTCACATATATTGTATGATTAATTTTAAAATGAAGATATCTCTAGTTAATCTGTTTACTTTTAAACCTTTATTTAAATTTAAAAAATGTACCCAAAATAAAATTCAGTGTTGTATCTTTGTGGAAATAAATATTTGTTGACGATTCAATTTTGTATGATACTTTTTAAAATAAGAATATCTCTAATTAATCTCATTATTTTTAAATCTTCATTTAAATTAAAACGAATCTACTCCAAATAAAATTAGAAATAATAATTTGTCGATTATTCAATTTTTTAAATAAATCATGTGAGAGGCGTGTGAGGGTCGAGACGTAAACATCTGTAGAAGACGAGACAACGTAGGGTATTCCAGACAGCGCGGGGCTCGCAAATAATAGCAGAACTCTTAGAACTTGTTAAGGCTCGCGACAACCCGACTGGAGGGACGTTATCCCGTTAATTACTCATTTCACGTTTCAACACTGGCCAACGGGAATAGCGTTTGGATGAAATCTAAATTAAACCTTTCTGGAAATTCTGCATTTCCTTATTGCTCTCGCTCAGGTTAAAGTAGCTCGACGTGATAAATCACAGGGGTGTCATGCAAACGGTTTTACATCACGTCAACCTAACGTTCGTTAGAACGATGATAATCGCAATCGAAATCTGGGTCGTATTTAATTATAATCGTTTTTGAAGAACTAGGAGTTTGGTCTAAGTGAAAACAAGCATGTTTGTCATTCGTTAACACTTGATTTACGGAACCCGTCAATTTGACGGATATTAAATTTTATAAGTATTATTTGATAGACATTCGTGTAGATTTTGTTTGATGTAATTATACGAATTTATGTGAACAAACATTTGTCTTTCTAGAAATAATAAAGTAGAATAAATGGCAGTAAACCTAATGTGAAGGCGAAATGCATCTTTCACTCGGCATAAAATTCTTGTTTAATTGATATATTGCAATGTTTACACAATCTACTGTGACTTTAGTAGATAATAAATACGAAAGTATTCCTCAAATAATACTTTCAGCTTTAGAAAGTTGAAAAAGTAAAATTTTCGTATTTGTTCGTTGCGAAAAATAAAATTATGTGACAAGTTTGATTAATATTCATTGTAAATTAAAAATATTCTCAATTATTTTTGTTTAAGGACATCTCATCGATATGATAGAAATATTTTCTTTCTGAGAAATGAACAAGTAGTTACTGTTTTAAAAATAAAATTAGAATTGTTTACTGAAATTCTTTTGTTAACGATAAGTGAAACTACGCATTATAAGCAGTTTCCATATTTTATATGTGTCGATGACGATAATAAGTACAATATGAAATACTTTATGTACGCAACATTCCTATAATAATTTAGAAATCAAAACTATGTATTCGTTATACCGGAAATAAATAAAAATTGTTGATCAACGCATCTGTTTAATTTTCATCTTAATATATTCCCATAATTTCAAATGTTATACGCAGTATAATAAGAAAAACAGTTTTATTTACATATAAACGTGAGCTTCAGTACTGAGTCACATTTAAGACGCCATCTGCTATACATGTGCCCGTCATATTATCTGTATGAGGGTTAATGATAATTAAATTTTAGAGTTTATAGATTTGTGCATATAATAATACATGAAATACAATAACTAGATTATGGATGTTTATCCAAAATTAAAAAAGTTTAAGAAACGCTTCTTAGAAAACGGGTACAAATATTTAACTCCGCTACGTTCTTCGGATCTTTTCTGACCGAGTCACATTTCCATTCTTTTAGCATCATTTTGTTTATTTAACTTTTTTCGATTTAGTCGTTTTTATTTTGTCGAGATTATTTTTACATTTGAAGATAGTATAATCAAAGTATTACATTATGCCTAACTATTCTTTTAATATTTTAA